GCACCACACATCTCTGGTAAGTCAGTGAGGCTTGTAATATTGTTATTCTGTTTTTCTGAGTTTTTAAGTATTGTGTTGTGCTGCTGTGTTTTAAGTCCAACTGAAATTAAATTACATTATTAAACCAATGTCTACTACAGCATACATATCTGCTCTGGAATCACAAGTATCCTTCTTAAACCAACTTATAAACGGGAACACAAATCTTGTCCTAGCCTGTTGGAATGAGTCACTGGGGAAAAGTGCACTGTTAATATCAGTTTGCAGGCTAGATAGCTAATTAGCTGCTCAGCTGCAGCACATTAAACAGCATGTAAACATAACCTGCAAATGTCACCTCGGTACATTGAGATGCTGCTGGTGTGTTCCTCACTCTTTAACACTGACACCAACACGCCTGAGAGGAAAATTATTTCTCATATTTCCCCAAAGACCTTATTTTTCCTACCTTTAATTAGATTTTTTGGGCCGATTGCTGAAAGCAGCATCGGCTGATACCGATCACCGATCACTCAGTGAGAATCTACAATGTAAATAGTCATGAAAATAAAGGAAACGCATTGAATGAGAAGGTGTGTCCAAACTTTTGGCCTGTACTGTATGTTATATCAGCTTTTATATCATTGCAATGCAAACTGAATGTATTTGTGTTTTGGGTTATTGGTTGGACAAATCATCATTTGAAGACGTTATCTTGGACTCAGGACTCTAATAATTGTTAGATTAATCAATAATAGTTAACCCTAAACAAAACATTCATAGCTGTTTATATTTATAAACAGGAACAACACAGAGAAGGTCATCCACCAGCGCACCAACACAGTTCCATTTGCCCTTGGGTCTCATGATGATGAAATTGCTGCCACAGTACGGGTTATACGTCCACTAGACGCTGCGGAGTTGGACCTGGAGACTACCTACGAGAACTTCCACCCCACAGTCCAGTCCTTGTCCAACGTTATCGGCCACTTCATCAGCGGAGAACGTCCCAAGGGCATCCACGAAACAGAGGAGATGCTGCGCCTGGAGACAGCATCACGGGTGTAGGAGAGCTGGTCCTGGATAACAACCTGATCAAGCTCCAACCTCCCAAACAGGGCTTCTGTTACTTTCTCACCCGGCTGGACTACGAGTCTCTTCTCAGGAAGCAGGGAAACAGCGTCAGACTGTGGAGGATTCTGACCCTTGTCTTCGGTGTTGCCGCTTGTTCCACACTCCTCTTCATCCTGTGGAAGCGATACGTACACCACAGACGGAGTAAGAAGGAGAGGAGCATGCTTGAGGAGTTCAAGGAACAGCAGAAGAAACGTATGCGTGAACTGAACTTGGAGGAAAGCAGCGTGTCGCCCACCGGCTGTACTGTCTGCCTGAGCCGTGAGCGCTCCTGCGTGTTTCTGGAGTGTGGTCATGTGTGTGCCTGTGCCCAGTGCTACGACGCCCTGCCAGAGCCAAAGAAATGCCCCATCTGCAGGGCAACTATAGACAGGGTGGTGCCTCTCTACAACAGCTAATGTGGACATACAGAAATGGGTATAACATCACATACAGTAGGAAGCCTACACAGCCTTTTATACTGGAAATATGTTATACAAAAGCTGTCTGTACAGCTGTGAAAACGGTAATATCGTTACTTTTCGTTGCACTTTTTTGCTTTTACTCTTTCTTATAGATAAATAGTAGGTATCTGTGCTGAATCGTGATGCAGTCACATTTCCCATTAAATATTCAAATCAACTTTGGAACCTGTAAAAATAGAAAATGAAATTTTTTCATCTTAAGAGAAAATTAGATTTCTTCTTGCTTAAGACATTGGCAAATACTGGCTCTGTACCCCGATGATGAACCATCTTAGAAGTTAGTGTTTCTAACGTTGTTAAGCACTTAAGAGCGAGTGCACATGCACACAAAGGTGTGCGTTTGCACAGAGTTAAGACCTTCTGAATACACTTTAATGTAATGAGGCGCATTTAACTGTCAGTAAGCAGTGGTATATATTAAAATACAGAACATAAATTACATGCTGTAAATGACAGAACAGAAATGTTTTGCACTTCATCAGTATGAAAAAATAGCCTTATGTGCAGCCAACAGTCTACAGCTTTTATCTTGGTGTGTGTGTGTGTGTGTTTGTGTTAAGATTGTGGTAGACAACATTTGCACCACAATTATAAAGAAAAGCAATGAAAACTGAAATCCTAACATAACATGAACACAGGAAGAAGAGGATGACAGAAACTGTCAAATGAGCAAATCAAATGTTCAATTACTTTTTTGTATGATTACAATATTTTTCATGTTAAATTAAATGTCACTTCACAGAATGTGTTGGTGGTCCATGTTTAGTATATTTGTCAGGGAACATGTACATAAAAACACTAATCTCATACAAAGAAGAGATGCATTGTACCAGATTTAGCCTTTAACTTTCTGAGATGTTTTTGGGAAACGGGGCCCATCTTGTTATGATCTTGTCTTGACATTTGATTTGGAAGTGTGTACAGTTACACTGACTCATTTTATGTCTTAAGTTAGGATTTAGCTCTGGTAAGGGCTGGCAGTTCATTTAAGGTTGTGTTTTGTACAGCTCAGACAAGGCAGAGGAAAGGTTGTGGTTCGCAAAAAAAATTCTCAAGGGTGAGGGGGGATAATTGTACAAGCTGACCTTGTCCTGTTCTTTTGTGATTTTGCTCTGGGCGCTTGCTAATAAAGACGTGTGCAGCTGGTGCTAAGGCTCTACAGACACTAGAGAACACAGTGGCAGCACATGTAAATCTTACAGTACTAGAGCAACATCTGCATCACCACAGGCCACTAATTGTTGCACTTTGAAACTGCTTTTCCTGGGACAAAACAAAATTCAGCTCATTGTTTATTTGCAACTAAAACCTCATTAAAGGCAATTACAATGTTGACAAAATACTGTGGAAAATTACTTTATATAATGTCACAGACTAGTCATTGTGTAAAATAAAGACACTAGGAGAAAGAAGATGAAGATGTCTGCCAGGAGAGGGGGCTGTCTGCCTGTGAGAAAAATCAGGGATTCAGAATTTGAATCGGAGAGCATGAATACACACGAAAATGTGATGCCACAAGCTCCCCCAATACAAGCAGCTGTTTTCAACTCCTGTTGGGGGTTATTCATTTGTTTGCTCCATTCCAATCTCCCTGTACATTTTAAATGTAATTCAGCCAAAAGCAAGTGCTGGGCCCTGTATGACATGCTCAGGCTTTGTTTTACGGCATAAAATGAATCATTTCAAAATTCAAGTGTGATACAGCCAACATTCTTCAAGTCTGTGGGCAAAGAATAAAACTCTTTTTACTTTTTATAAAATAGGTGATTGTTCAAGCACATTTTTGGTCAGACAGTTGATAGGATGGAGACAGGCTGAAGTCGGGAGAAAATGCTTCTGCACGATTCAATTTAGGCCTGCAGGGATGCATCTCTGTCGCCAGAGGAGACTGTCTTAGGGCAGTTTGAGCACTCAGTCTCTTTTTATCATCCCACATTATGTCACAAAATATCCAATGTATTAGTTAACATTGCATCGGGACCTTGGCATTATCATTACATTAGTATTCAGCGGCTGGCACTCAGATATACATTTTCCGGGAGTGAGCAGCAACACTGCCTTGTAATGCTGTTGTTTTTCAACTTTCTAGCTAATATCTTCTAATCTCTGCCGTCTAAAAACTTCTACAGCGTTCAGTCCTCTGAACTAACTGTGACCCCCCCCCTCCCCCAACTGAAGGTATATTTTGTTTTACATTTATTAATTTGTCTGATGCTTTTATCCAAAGCCCATATGTGGGGCCGGACGATTAATCAAAATATTAGTACAATTGCAATATGGCCAAGTGTAATATCCAATTTCAGTTTTTTTTATTAAATACTAAATGTGTCAAGACATACTATTATAATAAATTACAAAACACCTTTTTTCAGACTTAAGGGAACATGCTTGTTTGGTACAGACCATTGTAAAATGCAAGTCCTTAGCGTGGGAATATTTCCCATCTCTATCCTGTGTGATGTGAACACGACTTTAGTACAGCTTTACACAGAGCTGCGAGCATGGCTGTAGACTCTTAACCTTTTCTGTCCAATGCATTTTTGTGTAACACATCGGAATATTTCATGAGTGAGTTGTAGTATCAACTTTAAAATCTTTGTAGCCAGATGTTTGCTGTACACTCTGACTTTATGTTTTAAAGTCTGTTAGAAATCAAGAAATTTGACCAAAAAAGATCTCACTTGTGAAGTTACTTGTGTAACTTGTGCAGCCAAATAGTCACACATTAACAAAGTACTCTTTCCCATTGTGCTACAAACATGAAAGTAGCAGCTCTAGTCCAATACCATGGAAACCCTTCAACCTAATCCTGCCGTGCTTTTATCAGCAGGAGCTGTCACTGCACTGACAGTGAGTGAACCATCAAAGACATTCCCTCCATTATTCCCCACTTAAGAGTTTTGAATTTCAATGCTACATGAGGACTGTGCAAGAACTGCATGATAGGAGCCATGCACATAGGCTTAATGATGGAGGTGAGATGTTTACCGGACAGGATTTACTCTTGGACAAACACCATTTGCAATTTAAAAGAGACCACGTTTTCCTGCATGTGCACAATTTGGCTCTGACTCAAATCCTCAGAATTCACACAGCAGTCTGGTCTCAAGCTCAAAACAACTAATATATCAGATGAGTTTTTCTCAAAGAAAGATGATCTCAGATATTGAGATTAATCAGGCAAATAACGCCTCAGACAAGACATTGTTCTGAATATCACATGGGATTGCTGTTAAATCCCCTACTACAGACCACATAAACTGGCTGCTAAATCTTCAAATTATTAATAATATGACTGAAAACTCCTCTTGGCAACAGACTCAGTTTACATGCATTAAAGTCTATATACGGACTAATTTGTTCATATTGTATTTTGTTTTTCACTCCACTCAAAGCTCATGAAAGTTCTTTTATACTAAAGAATAGCTGAAATTGGGGCCGCTTTCTAATAAGGAGCTTTAAAGGCTGCCTTATTAGAGAGTTGTACCCAGTAACTTCAGTTATTCTCTTCTTTTATCTGAGAAAAAGTGGTTCGCTGTCAAGGCAGTGCATTGATTTTTTTGATTCAATTAGGCTCCCTTCATGGTAGTACCTTGTTCAAACGAAATATTTAAGTGTCTCTCAATAAAGAACATTTCTGATCCATGATCTTAGTACACAGCTGCAACGAAAAAAAAAGGTTGCTTTATAAGGGACACAGTTCAGCGCACTAAGGTGTTCAGGTGAAGTCCTATCATTATTTTGTATGATTATTTCCTATTTCATGGTTTTCAAGATTAAGCTTGGCTAACCCTAACCCTCAGTTTAGGTTGAAGTCATGCAAACCCTTTACACATAGCAATAAAATATTTCGATACTATGAAGGTCATCGCTATAATGACTTCTGCATATATATAACACGATATAATGCGTCCATAAGACATTATAACAGTTGTGATAATCACTTACAAACATGTATTAGGCGTTATAACAAAGTTCATAACGTATTATGACCTTTTGATTTAATGTTTTATAACGAATAGTAATACCAGTTTATATCAATGTGCGGCAAGAATCTTCGACCATGTTCCATAACACATTGTAATGTTTAAAGTTATATAGCACGTCTTTGTTTGCTTTAAGTAAAGTGTTAAAATATCTATCCCTGTATAATATATTACAGGTGGACATAATACCGTATGAACAAATATAAGAACTTATAACACGTAATTGTTTGCTTTAAGTAAAGTGACACACATTTTGCGCAGGAAAACAAATTTTATTTATGTTTCTTCACTTTATGAACAATCTGTATGAATTTTAAACATTTTGCATTTTAGCACAAAAACACAACATAATTACATCCAGAAAACTCGTTGTCAGGGTGGTGAGAGATCGCTCAAGAGAAGACCTGTTGCAGACCAACATCATGTAAGAAGAGGCTCAGATGTTGTCACAGATGAATGGCGAGCCTGTGGACAGGCCCTAACAGATGCAGTGGACGATTAAAGACAAGCACTTCACAAAACGTAGCCTATTAAAAGACATTTTAAAGTAATTGCATGGGAATACTGTTGGATAAAGTTGATGTAACTTGACTTGAAATAGGATATATATAGGACATGGGATATTTTTAACAGAAAAAGAAAAAAAAAGATATAGGACATCCAATGGCAGAAGGTAGTGGTCAATGTATATTTGGACCAGACAGTGGCACTAAGACAGAATGTTAGGGGTCATCTTCAGAGAACCATGAACATCCAAAGCAGATTTCCCGTCAATCTGGCTGGTAGTCCTACTATTACCTCATCCTGCACACACCCAGCCAACTGGCTGATATAGACTTAATTTTATATTCAAATGCTTCGTGAAACTACCAAGTACCCATGATAAAGCTATTATAAGTGAATAAATTCAGTAAATAAGCCAGTCAGGCAATTTGTAAATAAATTAATAAATTACAAATTGGGAGACACTTTGGACCAAAGCAAAAATAGACATTATGGAGATTAATTTCCTTGCAGCAGTCAAGATAGAACATCTTGGAAAAAAACACCTATGGTTTCCATGGGAACTGCTAATCATCCTGCACCCCAAGTTGAGACAAGATTAATTTACTGTACCCCACGACCTACCTCCAGACTAGCTTTTGAGCAGACGTGCACTCTGTGCTACTTATGCGCTACTTATGCGCACATTAAACTGCTGTGATACAGTACTCTGGATTTAATTAGACATCCGCCTACATTCTGCAGCCAAAGGAGTTTAAGTAGCTGCAATGTAAGAGAACAATTGGCACGGAAGATACTGTCAGACAGACCTGTGTGAAAAATAAATGTTGTGAAAATTGTGTGCATGGAGCTTAATGAGAGCTATAATGTTTCAACTTAAATTTAAATTAAAATACTTGGTCCATCAGTGTAAAATCCTAACTTTATAAAGACTCACCACTCTTCTCATTTGGTTTAATCACATATTATGCATCACTAAACAAAACACATGTAGAGAATATACTGTAATTATAATGACATGAGTTCCAAAAATATATTTTATCATGCTTTATCTCATAGTCAGTAGCCAAGCAACAGTGAATTGTTTGACATTCTTGTAAGGTAATTGTTCTTTATCCGTGCAGTATTAATAGGCATGTTATGTGTGCTGTGTCCACACGTGGACCTGAATATATTTGCAGATAATATAATGTGTCTTTGTTTGTGTGTATCCTTCAAAGCACTGTACACTGTCTAGAATTATTTGAGTCTTGTTTGATCTAGGAAGGTGGATATTAGCACCACAGTAATTAGCTTTTCTGTCCCTCTCTCCCTCCATTCCTCCTTCAATCAGCCTTTTCAAATGTCTGTCTCTCATGCTGAGCATGTTTTACCTTGTAATAGGGTGAACGGTATAAATGATGTCTTGTCATCCTAATTACTAGTGCCCTCTTTGGTTTCAAGGACCCACATTATGACAGCTTTTGTTGTTAATGAGCCATGTGCTGTGTCAATTGGGGAAGAAATACAACTAATGCAATAGATGTCACCTTGACATCACATCACCTGGGCCAGATAGAATTATAGTTCCTTTAAAGGTTAGGCCTACATCTAAAGCTAGTAAGCAACCCTCGATAAATGACAGCATTCGCAGCCTAAAAAGGGAATGCAGGAAAGCAGAGCGCAGATGGAAAAAAATCCAGTCTCCAAGTCCATTACCTCAGTCTGAAGGATTTATTAATTAACTACAATAACATGGTTAAGGATACGAGGACACTATTTTTCTGAACTCATTACTACACATAAAAACAATCCCAGGTTTCTGTTTAAGACTGTGGATCAGCTGGTAAACCCAACCCCTCCTTGT